TGTTAAAATATATTTTTATAAATTTACAAAACTAAACAGCCTACAATATTTTCACAGTCTTTATTTTACAGTTAAAATAAATGTTTATCAAACAAAGTCTAATGTTGCAACTAATCATGGATCCCTTTAATGATCTGTTAGAGCTTAAAGAAAGAGTTGGAAAGACACTCAGCTACTATCACACCAAAGTTTAGCCCAAAACCTGTAAAACTGTCTAAGTTATGATTGCTTTTGTGTTATAATTGATTACATGTGGTAGGCCTTTTAAATCAGGCTGAATCCACGTCAGTCTAATGACTTTCAAAGAGTTTAATACACTGGTTCATGAGGTCTTTTTCAGACAAAAAGACGTAATTATATAACCTGCAGATGACAGCTGTTAAAACCAAAGTGAAAAATACTTTTTTTCCCCTCCATACCAACTCTGCCAGCCTCAATCACGGTTTCATTTGTGTTGAAGATGCGGTCCAGCTTCCTGAAGCACTCGTCCACGTTCCTAACGTTGTACTCAGTCAGAACGTGGCCCCAGCACAGCCGCAGACTGTCCTCCACATCAACAAAGCACTGATAGCAGCCCAGAGAGCTGCGGAGCAGCAAGCTAGCACACGCCAGCCACAAAGCAGCTGTGCACATTTTAACTGGGCACAAGATTTCAAACACAAGAAAACATGTTTTTATTCGAACCCCTGCTCTCATGGTGACCACAGGTGCAGGGGATTCCAAAGGTTCCTGCAGCACAGCAAGCTCAGGAATTTTGATGGATTTTACGTGCAAACTGAGCAAGTGTCTTGTTCTGAGAAAGTGTTTGAGAGGGGAGAACACCTTTCCCTCCGTTCTATTGTCTCTGGTCCCCATTTCCTGCTGCCTCAATGCACCAGTTTTACTGCATAGCTCAGAGATGGCGTGAGCCAAGGAGGGAGGTGGCGGCGGCGGCGGCAGGGGCGGGGGGGAAAGAGGGGCAGATGAAAAGCGAGTTAAATGCTTATGTATGTGTAGGGATAAATGGTATCGGCACAAGAACCCAGGAGAAACTGACTCCAGTAAATAAATGCCAGAGCTGCGAGGACCGCAACACACAGACGCCCAGGGCCAAATCATAATGAAGCGGGGAACAAAGGGACAGCAAATTTCATTTTAGCGAGGCAGAGAAACGACACATTCTTGCTGAGGAAGTTGGGGGGTGGGGGGGGGCCTGGAAGTGAAGACGGGACAAATGAGGAAGGGGTGGGGAGGACAGGGAGTGACAGACGAAGAGGGAGACGAGGAGGGAGCGGGACTACAAATCAAGTCGACTGCCTCATCACATCCTGTATCCCCTCCACCACACACACACACACACACACACACATCTCCCATCCTCCCCATCCCTCCAGCCCGCTCCCCCTCCCCACCCCTCGCCTCCTTCTCCTCGGTCCCTCGCTCCTGGTGCATCTCCATGGCAACCAGACAGGGTGCCTAATACACGAACTTAATATATTTCCAGTGGCAGGGTGAGCTGGGTACTAATGCATTCATCTGTCTCCACACAGACAGGCCAATCAATATCAGGCAAGAATGTGCTCCAGGACTGCCAAAGTCTGAGAGCGAGTCAGATGGCTGGCCGTGGAAAATCCCGAAATTTGAGTGTGTGTTTGTGTATCTGCGTTTTTTTATTTATTTATTTATTTATTTTTTGTCGGGGTGGATACAAAATGTTTTCTGTCACAAGGACATTTTGATAAGTATTCCCACATGTGTGCACAGCTCTCTGTGAGCTTTATAAGATGAAATGTTTTTAATTACCAGGAACTTCACAGGTTTTTTTTCAGTGAGAGATAAAAGTTTTGCAGTATTGGACAAAACTTCATTTGATAGTTTGGATTTTTTTTTCAAACTGGGGTTCTTTGGAAAAGTTATGAACAGTAATTATCTAACCTGTTGTAGATAGCACTTTTTAAAAAAAAAAGTTTAGAGAAGTACTTCATTTTTGACCGGATTAGTCAAAGCTGCTGACAACTCAAATATTAGAGCACTTTGAATCCTGTGTAACTACTATTTTTTTAGTACTTTAATGTATTTTATAAATGGTTTCATCATAAAATGTGCAATAGTCTGAAAATAGCTGTAGCACCTCTAGTGCAGTCTGGAATATCGTAATGTTTTTATTGGAATAAATGTAGACTGTGATGTAAAACTGACGGGGATGTAAAGTTTATCAAGTAAAGTTCATATAATGTGCTCTAACATATTATATTGGGTTGATTTAAAGCAGTAGCTGTCCACTTCAAACTAGCCATCAGCTCATCAAATTAAACTCTTTTTCAAACTGAGCTGGAACATCTGAAACAGGTAAGATATTAATTCTTCATAACCTTTTCTTAGAATCTCATTTCAAAAGATTTGGTCTTTTAGTAAAAATGAATGAATGAATAAATAAATAAATAAATAAATAAATAAATAAATAAATAAATAAACGCACACACACAGCACTGTTTTATTAACCCACTGTAGGTGAAAAGATGAAGGAACGGAGCAACTTTTGCAGCACAAATAATAAACTTGAGCTTGAGTTTGGAAGGCGACACRTAAGACGGGGTCACAGCCCTCGGCTGCCTTCTTATTGGCCCCCAGCGGAGGCTATAACACAAAGACAGCCAATAAGGGCCGGCCCCCTGATAGCAGTCTGTGCTGCAGGACAGACGTCGTGGTCGTTTTCTCTCTTGCTTCAGCCTGAGAAGCTTTAATATCTTAATCTTCTGCTTCTCTCGCATTTAAAGCGCCTTTAGGAGAAACATCAAACCTTACATAGAAGACAGATTTCTCTGGGGGGGAATTATATCTACAGAATATTCATTTATTCAAACGTTGAAACTGAATGCAGCCCTGTTCCCGAGGACCTCACCTGTGACCTGATTTGACCTCACAGGTTAAGGGTCTCAGGGACAGAGGGGCATACGGTAAAATGAAAACACACAGGGAGGGTGTAAAACTGAAGCCATTTATTGCACAGAAAAAGCCCGGCGGTGAGATTAAAACAAAAAACAAACAACAAAAAAAAAAAACAACGTATTAACAGAAAGGACCGCAGAGCCGCAGCACCGAGACAAAGACATGACCTCATCTGACATTTGGATTCTGCGGCACCAGCCGGGTTCCTGGTTTCACTGCGGATCCGAAACGAACCCAGGCGCTTTAATTAAGGCATAAACTGCTGCAATAAACACCACGTTATTTATTCCAGGGCCAATCTTMTGCTTTTTCATCACAGCAATCAGATACAGCAGAGAGCACAAAGAATCYCAGCAATGCATCATGTGAATTAATTGTGGAGGAATTAATTAAAGGGAGACGATTAGCTCGAACCTGTTGGTAAATATCACAGGCATTTTCCAACGTGATTAATTGAGTTTGTGTTGTCTGATTCAACTGTTTACAGCTTTTTTTTTTACTTAGCTGAGAATCTTTTAAAAACATCAGATTAGGACACAATTAATGAGTCAAAAATAAAACTGATTATCTTGAAGTCTTTATGATAACAGAACAGATAGAATGAGCGTAAGTCAAGAAGGCACACAGAACTGCTAAATCTTTTAAAACAATTTATTTCATAGACTTGTTTCTATAATGATTTATTTTCAACAGCTTACAAAGAAAATGTAAGATTTCCACTTTTCATACACCTGATTGACTTGAAGCATAAAGATCTTCATAGTTTAGAGATCTAAAATAAATGATCTTGTCGTTTTTAACATTTTATCCTGTAGCGTTTTTATCGCTGGTTTTGTTCTTGTTSGTCAGTTTAATTATAAAAAAACAGAAACTATCATCTGACTCGCAAATCCAGCTGAAACTAGAGCAAAAACAAAAAGGACAAAAAGAGAAAAGCATGAATCTTTGCGTGATTGTTTTGTGTATTTTTAGGGATGAATGGGAGTGAAATTAATGGTGTAAAAAAAATACTACAAGGCGATGCCACCCGCTGGTAGACAGACAGAACGACATGTACAGACCGGAGGAGACTGCATGTGCTCATACATGTGGAAACGAAGAAAATTGTCTCTTTTAATGGCGCTGCACATGCAAACGTGTTTTTATTCTATTTTTGTTTTTATTTTTACAGCAAACACACAAATTTAGATGCAACGTGTCACCATCACATACTAATCATATATATTTTTTTGTCACCTGCTGTTTCACTTCATAAACTACAGGCCTCAAAATTYTGCAAATCTGAGGTCTTGTCGTATGTTTTTTTAAAATGTCTGTTTTAATTGTACGTATCAGCCCGAGCAGACCGCCGAGCGTGACAGRCATGTCATTACTGGTACGAGTTATGTTTTTTTGTCTGCTGGTGGATTTGAGGTTTCATCTAAATATTGTCAAGTATCAATAAAACAAAAACGCTCACAGGTCAGAATCYAGCAGGTGCAACGTGGACTGCGTGCACGCACGCCGCAAAATGATCAATCATGCCCTTTAAGTGACTCGACAGCTGCCAGTTTTACAATAAAACTATGGTAAATCTACAGGTAATGAGGTGCTCATTGAGCGTAAAACACAGGCATGAGCTCWGCAACATGCAGCCCTAATGATTAACAGCAACAAAAGCTCATGAAGACGGATCCGAAAATGAATTTTAAATTCTCGCATGACTTGTTTTAGTATTGTCGGTGAATTTGAAGCGGCGACGAAGTTTCAGACAGAATTGCATCGAATTGCAACAGAAACAAAAGCTAGTTTTACCCAAAAGAAGAAAAAAAAGGAGGGATTCACCTTACAGTCAGCCTTTTCTTTTCTTCTCTTCTTCCAGGCAGGGTGATTCTGATTCACCACCTCTCTCTGATGCTCTCTGCTGGGGCCAGACAGGGAGTCCAGCAGCAGGTAGGTTACAGACAATAGTATTGATTCCATTATTCTGCTCGCTACCTACCTGACAACATCTCTGCAGCACCGCTTCACCTTTTGTCTCTGCAGGGCTGCTGCCACCGAAACACCGCCGGGCTGCAAAGGAGAGAAAAATAAAAGAGGAGAGGTAGAGTAAAAGAAAATGAAAAAAAAARAAAGAAAAAGCATGTGTGTGCACGAGCCGGAACACATGAACACATGTTCCCTTCTTCATCCTTTGCACGCCTTCTCCCAAACACCTCACGCCTCACACACATGCACACACACTCACTCACGCTCACTCTTCAGTCTGTGCGCYACGTTTGTAAAGACGGGAAGAGAGAGTGCAACGAGTGCATGCGTGTGTGTGTGTGTTTGTGTGAAAGAGGGGAGCAGTATGTGTGTGTGTGTGAGGTGGGGGAGAGGCAGGAGGGATGTGGGGATGAGTGGAGAGGCTACAGAGGCAGAGAATGAGGATGGAGGGGGAGGGTCAGAATCTCTAATAGGATGTGAATTGAGAGAAAATATGAAGCCTGGGAGTCTCATGAACCTAAGAGCCCCGACATTACTGCCTCCTCCTGTGTGTACACCAATCATACCGTCATCAAATTGATTACAGGATTTATGGTGTGGCTCTAACGCCATGCTAAATTGCAGCTGGAGTGACATCAAACACATTAAATAAACCCATCATGGGAAGCTCTGCCAATTAGAAAACGTGTCTTGATTATGCAGCTTGTCATCAGAGTTGTTCGCTGCGCACTTAGCAGCCAAATCGGTCCGRCAAAAAAAAAATGCAATAAATGCCCGTGACGTTTCCCCCAARCTGATATGCACGCCTCCTTTGTGTTGCGTGAAAACTTTACAACACTTCYCCTCCGTTTAATGCTCTCTAATCTRCTCGCATGTCTAAAGGCAGCCGGGTTCTAATATCTGTGCTGCTCCCTCGGCCGCGGACAGAGAAGTTGGGCTCGTCGGATAACAGAATCTCACGGCCCTGAGGGAAATTCAGAAATGAAAGTAAATCTAATTTGGAGCCACTGATTGGCTGTCTCTTCAGTGAGATGAAGCATAAACACTACAGTTGATGTGGAAGCATCATTAATGGCCCTGAAGTGTTCTGACCATGTTGTACGACAAAGTGGAGCTTTTTTTTTTTTTACAGCAAATTAGGGTAAACTGAGAGACGCTTTTATTTCTGAACGAACTGACCAAGAGCTCTGCGGTGGAGAGACGGCAAACACGAGACGTCGGCCATAATAAAGTGGACTTCCGTCTAAAAGCTACAGTTAATATGTTAACACTTATAGACGTTCTTTAAACCGTTACCCTTAAAGTGCTTCAAGTGTCTGWGACATGCTTCTCACTCACATACAAAAAGTCGAAGAAAACATCGTTTATATTTAAGAAACTTATTAAACTTATTAATTTTACCCATTTTGTCACATAAAATTCATGTTTTCTTCAGAACTTGGCTCAGCCAAAGTGAAACAGGAAGTGACATCAAAGGGGAACTCTTTAAGAAAGGAAACTCTCTGGTCTTTTTTTTATTGTAACAATATTATTTGACCTCTTCTTCATTTTACTTTGACAGTGACTCAAAATAATCTAAAGAAACATCACTTTCTTCTCAACAGTCTGCTCTGTTCACATGCTGACATTCCCCTTTGATGTCACTTCCTGTTAATTCAYRTGCAAATATCTCAACAACTGTTCATCACAGCWGTGCGAAATTCTTTTSCAATGTGTTAGCAATRTTGTCYATCYAAAAATGCAATCATGTTTGTTACGAAAGCTTGATGTCACAGGCACTTCAGTGAGCCAACAGCTAATAAAGAATGAGCTCMTCTTTTTAATAAAACTCCAGTCGACACAATTTCATGGTTTACGCAAACATTATTTTAAAAAACTTAATTCTATACTGCTGTCCATGTTTTGAGAGACAGTTTTTTAAACAGGATGTATTTATGTATTCATTGCCTGAAGGCAAATCTTTGCCCATGTTTGTGTGCGTACTTGTTAGTCTGTAGCGTTAGCACATTATCCCATGAATTAGCAAATTTAGTGAATATAAACAGCTCAAGCTCAGGGAATTTAAAATTCAAACATGTTGGTAGCTGAGATTCATCCCAGACACCAACGGTACAAGAACTAACTGAACGTGTGATGTCTGGTTTTAAAACTTTGCCCTTAACTGTTTGAGTCAACTATTTGTTAGCAAAATATCTCACAAAGCACTGGTCAGATTTTAGTGAATCTTTCTGAACAACTTCAAATTTCAAGGCAGTTTCAACACTGCAACCTATCAATTTCACCACTGTGCTTCATAGCAGCTCATGCAAATGTGTATTTAAAAGCTTTTATGCTGCCATCAATGTCACATTAAATGGTTATTTTGGCAGAAATAGTGTGTCCCAATTCAGGGGTTGCAGTTTACGTAGACCGCGGCCCTCATAGGCCCCAGACTTCGAAGTCTGCGTAGGCYGCATGAAACAGTTGTGAAATGAGACAGTCTAGCCTTAACATGACTTATGTTTGTGTGACCATGTGATACCCCATTACCCTGGTGTTACATTTTATATCATGTGCCGTAAGACTTCAAATGCATTGGAACACGTATTCACGCGTCTTAATGGAGTAATAACTTCAGTTAAAAACGTTRCATGCAGAGTTGTAAAGTTACTAAGTACAAATACTTTGTTACTGTACCTAAGTAGAATTTTTGGGTATCTGTACTTTACTTGAGTCATTTATTTTCAGCCTACTTTTTACTTTTTACTTCTTACATTTACACACAATTATATGTACTTTCTACTCCTTACATTTAAAAAAGGCAAGAAGTAGAAAGTTGTTACTTTTATTTCGTTTTTGCTTGTTTGCATTAGCTTGTTATTATAAAAAATAAATACTATCCATATAAACTGTGCCTCCTAGATAGAGTGAATTTAATTGTGGTTGAATGAGAAGTTTAAATATATAAAACTCTGATACTGTATTAGTTTGTACACGAACAAATCATGTCACACTCCAGCAGGACATAATCATTAAAATCAGAGTTTTATATATTTACACTTCTCATTCAACCACAATTAAGTTCACTCTATCTAGGAGGCACAGTTTATATGGATAGTATTTATTTTTTAC